TCACTCCTCCCACCTTTTGAAGATCACGCAGCTGTTGTGGCCGCCGAAGCCGAAGCTGTTGTTCGCGGCGACCCTGAGGCCTGGCAGCTCCAGGGCCTGCGTGGGCGCGTGGAGGTCGAAGCCGTCCTCGCGGTCCTCCAGGTTCAGGGTCGGGTGCACCTTCTGATGCCGAAGCGCCTGCACGCAGACGACGGCCTCGATGCCGGCGGCGGCCCCGAGGCAGTGGCCCAGCATAGACTTGGTGCTGTTGACTACCACGCGGTCGGTGCTGCCCAGCGCCTTCTGGATGGCCCGGACCTCCGCCATGTCCCCCGCGGGCGTGGAGGTGCCGTGGCAGTTGATGTAGCCCACCTCGCCCGCCTCGACGCCGGCGTTCGCCAGCGCGCCCTTGATGCAGCGGGAGACTCCCGCACCCTGGGGGTGCGGCTCCGTCATGTGGTGCGCGTCGGAGGTGTAGGCGCCGCCCGCGTACTCCGCGTAGATCTCCGCGCCGCGCCGCTGCGCGTGCTCGAGGGACTCCAGGCACAGCACGCCGGCACCCTCGCCCATGACGAAGCCGTCGCGGCCCTTGTCCCAGGGGCGGGACGCCCTCTCTGGCTCGTCGTTGCGCGAGGACAGGGCCTTGCACGCGTTGAATCCGGCGATGCCTGCGCGCGTCACGGCAGCCTCGGCGCCGCCTGCGAGGACAAGGTCGCATTCCCCGCGCTGGATGTGGCCAGCAGCCGCGGAAATGCAATAATTGCCTGTCGCGCATGCCGTGACCACAGCGTAGTTGGGGCCTGTGAAGCCAACGTCGATTGAGAGCAGACCACCTGGCACGTTGACCAGAGTGTATGGAACGAAGAAGGGCGACATCTTCTTGCCCTGGAGCAGCTTCTCCATGTTGTCCATCGACGTCTGCAAAGACGAGCCACCCATGGCTGACCCGATCAAGATGCCGCACCTCTGCTTATCCAGGGCCGCGAAGCCGTCGGACTCCATCCCGAGGCCAGCGTCCACGAGGGCCTGCCTGCCAGACACGATCGTGTACTTGACGACGTCGTCCATACGTCTCGCATTCTTGGCGTCGATGAACTCCCCCACCGAGAAATCGTCGATCTGCGCGGCGATCTGCGTCACCAGCCCCTCTGGGTCGAACTTGGTGATCCTCTTTACCGCAGATGTCCCTGCACACAGCTTGGCGTAGACCTCCTCCTTATCCTGTCCAAACGGGGTTGCCATGCCGATGCCCGTCACGACCACCCTCTTGGGGAAACGAAGAAATGCCGATACCGCTGCTCCCGGGACCTCTCCCCGGGCACGCTCTGACCAAGATCTCGAGGCGAATCCAGCCGTGGAGTGGAGGGCCCGCCAGGAAACCTGAGCACATGTATATCTACATCTATGAATATTTATACATATATATATACATACTTATGTGTACATTGACGATTTCGGAAACCCTGGACCCAGACACGTTTTATATCTTGGGGGCACATCTTTTGCGTCCGCCACCTTCCGCCGAGCCTCCGCCGGCGGAGGCGGCCTCGTTCTACTTCCGCCGAGCTTCCGCCGCGGAAGAGACGACAACGCAAGGCCCTCTTTGGGACGCCTCATGTGTGTGCATCTAAAATAACTATGTATACGTGTACATACATGTACACAAAACGAGGGAAGAGCATCGGCACTGGTATGTTCCTGTCCTCTGACCTCGGCCACGCGCAGGCAAGAGTGGCCCTAGTAGACAAGAGCGGCCCCTGGTGCGCGGAACCTGCCGATTGATTTCGCTGCGCGCGGTACGGCGGCCACGGCCTGCGCGATGGGGTTCCACCCCCCCCGCGCCGGCCTCGAAAGCCGCGCACCACAGGCCACTCCGGCGACGAGCCCCTCAGTTCAGACATCCTGGCGCCTCGAAAAAGTCAAGACGGAGGTTTTTCGTAGTTTTCGGCCTCTCGGGGCCCTTACCGGGCCTCGTGGCCGTCAAAACACGACTCGAGGCGAGAAGCCGGTCCCGGGGAAGCGGTGGGAAGGTCGAGGGCCCGTGTCTCCAAAACATCGAGACGCCAGATGTCGGGGAGCCTGGGTCTCCGGCGGCCGTTGGGGACCATGCGGGCATTCCCGGAGCGCCCTCGGCGAGGCGCAACTGCTGGAGCGCAGCTTTCGGCGGCATGCCCAGGGGGGAAGTAAGAGGGGGCAGGCCTTCTCAGGCGGCGCCGGGGCCTCTCAGGCAGGGGCGGCTTCTCAGAAGGCCAGAGGGCTTCTGAGAAGCCCCCGCCGCCAACTGAGAAGGCCTGCCCCCTCTCACTTCTCCCCTGGGCTCGCCGCCGAATCCCGAGGTAGGGAGCCTCCCCGACATCCGGCGTGCCGACTTTTTCGAGACACGGGCCCTCGACCTCTCGACCACTTCCGCGGGACCGGTTCTCGCCCTGAGTCGTTTTTTGACGGCCCCGAGGCCTGGTAAGGGCCCCGAGAGGCCGAAAACTATGGAAAACCTCCTTCCATAGGGGAACGAGCAGTGACAGAAACATAAGAACTCGGAGGTCCGCGCGGATTTCTCGGATCCGCGCTGGACCCCCTCCCTGGCGCGCAGCGCGGGGGCGGCGCCGGAGGCGCCGCCAGGGGGGCCCAGCGCGGATCCGAGAAATCCGCGCGTACCTCCGAGTTCTTTTGTTTCTGTCACTGTTCGTTCCCCTAGGTCGGGCGTGTCCCTCTACAGGAGGAACATCAAAAAATAGTATAAAATAGTCGGGGGACGATTTTTTGAATATCTTTTGACCATTTGGGGGCATTTTTTGACTATTCTTAAGTTTTCGCCCGAAATCGGCCTGTATGGGGACAGGCCCGACTTAAACCCAGCCGAATCCCGAGGCTGGGAGCCTTCCAGGGACCGGCGATCGCGAACGGAGAGGCGGAGGAGGAGGAGGAGGAAGGGGAGGAGGAGGAGGGGAGGAGGAGGAGGAGGAGGAGGAGGAGGAGGAGGAGGAGGAGGGAGGAGGAGGAGGAGGAGGAGGAGGAGAAGGAGGAAGGAGGAAGGAGGAGGAGGAGGAGGAGGAGGAGGAGGAGGAGGAGGAGGAGGAGGAGGAGGAGGAGGAGGAGGAGGAGGAGGAGGAGGAGGAGGGGGAGGCGCGCGGCCGGCCCGCCCGAGCTGGCCTCTGGCCGCCGCCCGCGGCCGCCCGCGCCGCGCGCCCGCGGCCTCGCCGGCGCTGCGGCCGCGCAGCGCTCCTCGCCCCGGCCGCCAAGCCTTAGGTCGGGCATGCCCCCAGACTGTTTTTATGTTGCTGTTGTTGTTGTTGTTGCTGCTGCTGCTGCTGCTGTTGTTGTTGTTGTTGTTGTTGTTGCTCTTGGTGTTGCTGCTGCTGTTGTTGTTGCTGCTGTTGTTGTTGTTGTTGTTGCTGTTGTTTCGCAGCGAAGCGAAGCAAAGCAGGAGGGAGAGTCCGCTGCCCCCCCTCAAGGGGGGCCATCCCGCACCACGGACAAGGAAGACGGCGCACCAGGCTACTGCAGACAATGTCCCCCACACGCAGGCGGTTTTTGGACGACAAAGAACACATACTTGAAACATGCTCAACACTGGTCACAACTAGTCGAAACACCGTCCCGAGGCTATTTTTCTGACTATCTTGGAATGTTCCCCCTGTAGAGGGACAGGCCCGACTGAACCCGAGCCTGATTCTGATGGGGCAGACACGACCTCCCGATACCCCTGCTCCGCGGCCCTCTCCTGGGGTGCGCTGTCTGACCGGCACCTCGAGGATCGAGGACCGAGGGGGCTGTGGATCGAGGATCGAGCACCGACCGAGGATCGGGGGGAACGAAAAGGGGGGGGATAGCAACGGGTAGGGTAGAGACTCAGCTCACGTAGCTGATTTTCCAGCGCCTCCCGGCGCCGGGAGGCGCCCATGTATCGAGGAAGGGGCCCAGCGGCGGGGGCAGAAACCAGCTGCACGCAGCAGGTTTCGTAACCCCCCTTTCCCTATTCCCCCCCCTTTCGTTCGGCCCGAGAGGACCGAGAAGTCGAGGATCGAGGGTTCAGGATCCAGGCGGATCCCGCCGTGGCGTCGAGGGAAACGCTGCGGCATCGGCGCCGTTCCCAGACATCCGGCTGCTCCACTCTTCTCGACGCGTGGGCCCTGGAGGTCTGCCCTGACCGTCCGGGAGGGCTAAAAAATGGCACTGGACTTGAAAACCTATCCCAAAGCTGTTCTGCGTCTTGGTTTCAGGATGTTTCGTTTAGTTGTTTGAAATTTTTAGGTTTTCAAGGTTGAAACATAGCTCTCTGGAAGGTCAGGGTGGACCACTTCTCTAGGGCCGGTTTCTCGTCCTGCGTCGTTTTTAACGCTCCCGAGGCCCGGCGAGGGCCCCCAGAGGCCGAAAACGGCCAGAAACCGCCTGCTCTAACTTTTTTTTGGAGCGTCGGATCTCAGCGCCAACCGCATCATGGCAGCATTCTCGTCCTCTTCCTCCTCCTCCTCCTCCGCCTCCTCCTCCGCCTCCTCCTCCTCCTCCTCCTCCTCCTCCTCCCGGGGCTACGACCTCCCTTTGGAGCGTCGGATCTCGAGGTTTCCTCCCCCTGAAGGGCCCACGGTCGCCACCGCGGCCGCGCCCACCGCGGCGCCGCGGGGCGCGGCGGCGCCCCGCGCGCCGCCGAGGGCCCGCGCAGGGGAGGCGGCGGCGGCGGGCGCCGGCGGCCTCGGGCCGCTCGCCGCCAGGGCCACGGTCGCCGCCGGGGGCGCCGCCGCCATCGCCATGGCCAGGGGAACGAACAATGACACACGCTGACCTTCCAGGAGGGCAAAAAAATAGCACCGGACTTACAAACCGATCCCAAAGCTATTCTAGGCCTTGGCTTTAGGAGGTTTCGTTGCGTTTCTTTAGTTTGCAGGCGTGCGGTGCTAAGAAATTGCTCTCTGGAAGGTCAGGGTAAGCATAAAAGTCGGAGGTCCGCGCGGATTTCTCGGATCGGCGCTGGGCCCCCCGGCGGCGCCTCCAGCGCCGCCCCTGGCGCGCTCCGCGCGTCAGGGAGGGGGGGGCCCAGCGCGGATCCGAGAAATCCGCGCGGATCTCCGACTTTGTATGCTTATGTCATTGTTCGTTCCCCTAATGGCCCCGCGGCGTGGCGGCGCGAGCGGCGCGGGTGCGGTCGCCTGGAGCCACAGCGGCTGCGAAGCACAGCCGAGGATCGGAGGAAGAGGTGCCCAACTGGCCTTGATAAGAACACCTGGGGGATGATAAAGTTCGTGGTTCTGGGGGGATAACGAATGATTTGTCCCAGCAGGTCGACGACGACGACGACGACGACGACGACGAGGAAGTTACCGATACCGCTGCTCGTCCTTGCGAGGTCTCGCCACCACGGCTGGACTCCCTCGGAGATGCTGGCCAGAGCGCGCCCCAGAAGAGGTCCGTGGAGCAGCGCTGCTGGTAGGTGCTTGTAGTCCCAGAGGGGGGCGGAGGGGAGGCGGATGAGGGAGTCGAGCCGGCCCCTCCTGCTGATGCTCGGCCTGCCGTGCGCAACGAGTGACCCTACAGGCAAGGGAGGCCTTTTGGTGCGCGGCCTGGTAGGGGCCGCAGGGGCAGATACGAACGCGCCAGCTGGCCCTGAGATCCGACGCTCCAGAAGAATGGGAGCAGGCGGTTTCTAGCCGTTTTCGGCCTCTGGGGGCCCTCGCCGGGCCTCGGGAGCGTCAAGAAACGCAAACAAAAACCGGAGCGGCCGGATGCCACACGGCGGGCCTGGCTCGCCAGGCGCTCCGCGGGAGCGCCTGCGGCTGGCTCCGCCAAAGCCGCAGGCAGAGTCGGCAGATTGACTTCATCCTCCTCCCGCTCCACCTCCTCCGCCTCGCTCTCCTGCTCCTCCGTTTCGTGCTCCTTCAACTTGAGGATGAGGAGAAGTCAACTGCTTTGAGGACCTCGAAGCTGCTGACTTCTCCTCACCCGGCTTCTCTCCCTCCTTCCCGTCCTCGTCCTGTTCCTGTCCCTCCCCCTTGTCCTCCTCCCTCCCGCTCCAACTTCTAGATCTCCTTCCTCTACGTACTCTTCCCTACCGCTGCTGTTGTTCCTCGTCTTCCTCCATTTCTCATTACTCCTCCTCTTCCTCCTTGACTCCTCCTCCTTCTTCTCCTCCACCTTTTCCTCCCCCTCCTGCTCCTCCCCCTCCTCATTTTTTGTTTCCCTCCTCCTGGCCGCCATCGCCTTTCGCCTGCTCCTCCTCGTCCTCCTCCTCCACTTTTCTCTTGCGACCG